CCAATATGTGGTGGAGCAATTTACCGCAAAGACGTGGAGCCATGATTAGCCTGGCAGGATTCCGATTCCTCACCTCCAGAACTGGGTGCGGTTTTGATAATTTTCGGGTGAAGTTTTGTAGCTTCCTCTTCTGTCTCCTGCTGCCTCTTTCGATTAAGCAATTTCTTCTTCCTCCAGAGAATTATGCAAATGACGATGAAGAGGATTCCTCGAATACAAACTAGGATCGCCATGGAAATGAAATATCCACGGAATGAAAACGCATCAATCACTGTTCCAGAGAGAAAAGGAGCCAAGAGCATGCCTATTCCCGCGATCATTTTGGTCATCGGAAAGGCGACAGAACCGTGGATCAACATAACCTCCTCTGAAGTGGCGTAAAGGAATGTATTGCCTGTTCCGACTGCTGCTCCTAGAAAACCAGCCAGAATTAGCACACCTTTCACATTCTTGTAAATACTTTGCATTATCAGCAGAATAACAGCACTGACTGCGGCACCGATCATATAAAATAGGGGCAAGTATCCCCGCATCCGATCCCCAACCAGCGCTCCAGCCGTGAAGATGAGAGATTCACCGATACCGAAATAGAGGTTCACCTTTGACCCCTGTTCAATGCGATCTTTCATGGCTTCGGTCACATAAGTTGTCATATTCATTAGAAGTCCATACATGACAAAATTGTGGACTAATCTGTCCATCGCCCACAATACGATTTGCAAATTCTCTCTTAAATGGGATAGGGAAATCAGTGCCCATCCACGACCACTGGCTGCGGTGTGCTCTACCGGTTCCATTGTTTCCTTCTGGGCGTCATTGTCAACCTCCTCATAGTTGTCACATTTTTTTGGCTGAAATACAACAGCAGCTAGAAGGTTAAAACCAAGGAAAACCACACCACAGATCTCGAATGCATGCCTCCAACCGTAATTGTGGATCCAAATTGAGAAGAGCGGACCAAAAATGAGCACACCATACGGCCCACCAGACACAAAAGCGGTTGCCAATACGTGAAAGCGATGCTTCTTGTCAAAGTACTCACCAGTTATGAGGGCAGTACTGCACAGAATTAGGGTGGAACCGATACCATGAAGAACGGTGTGTGTAACGAAGAGATATCCAGGTGATGGCACAGCCGCAGATGTGAAACAACTAACAAATATGAAGGCTCCGGCAGCCATCATGGCAAAACGGTAAGCCCGCCCGGCGTGGACTATCAGCGTCGTCATGAAGGGCATGAGGAAGAATCCGACCGCAGCATAACTATCTCCAATCCAATTAAGCTCAGTCATCGAGGTATTCTTGAAGTCGTTGTGCAATGCTGTCACAAAAATCCCGAATGCACGTCTCTTGCCACCGATGAGAATGACATTTAAGGCCGAGACCAGTAGTATTATCCAACCCAGGTGTCTGTAGTTATTAAGACGGTTTTTGTACTCGACACACTTCTCCCAGAAGACCTTACCATCCACAGGTAGATTCGCAACGGCCTCCTCTTGCCCCATGCTTGAGCCAAATGGGGCGAAAATAGCGTCATTGTAATCCTCCTGCCACCACTAGCGCGGGATAATTACAGACAGCGATCATGCTTCCGGTTATTAAGCCTTCCTAAGAGAACGGAAGGGGCGGAGGTAATTAAGTCCCCACTGTTGCTAATCCTGGAGCAGGCTTAGGCAAATTGCTCTCATTTAGCTTGCTGTCACTCTTGTTGCAGTATTTAAGGCAGTTAAGGGGTGAATTTTTGACACTGGCAAGCAAGAACATTGACAATATGGCCGCGATAAAGTGAACTGAAGCAACTAAGGAGTATATAGAGGCGAACAGCCAACCATTTGCTATTGCTTAACTCTCGTAATTTCTAATTAGCAATTTTAAATGATAGGAATATTATGAAAGCTTATATTTATTCATTTACGTGTTATTCCCTTAGAATCCGAGCTTGTTTTAATGAACAGTCATGGAGAGGAAGAAAGAGATAGTCCGGTTCAGCAAAACTGTTGATGAGGCTCGCGGGATTTAAGGAGTTGGAGTACTTAGATTGTATAGTTAAACTAAGCTAGCTTTATTAAATGTCAACTTCTCGTGAGAATTGTCTCTGGCAGTTCTGTTGGTTACTATTCTTCAGCTATAATGAGACTTCCCGTAAAATATACAATCCAGGGGCGGAGGTAGTGCTAAGAAATACCATCATTGAGGGGAGGATATTTTATTAGTAGTTTGCATAAACCATTGTAGTTTTTCGTTTTTGAAACCCCTTTTTATCACAAACTCTTAAAGGCGGACAATATCAGGAGAATGTCTGACAGAGAGGTCATACCATGGTAACATTTGCCCAAAGAAACTTCCCCAAAGGACCGCTACGGATTTGGTTTTGCTGAGGGATAGATAGTTGGTTTACCTGTAAGGCTTACTTCCATTGGTTGACAGTTGGTCTCACTCCATCAGCAAGCATTTCCCATAACTTGAGAGAAGAGATCCGTCGAAACTCTTCCACATTGACCAATGCAATAAGCTAATTGTTTCTTTAACTCCAGATTTTGGCAACAGACTGATTAGAAACTCTGCCCTATGGTCTATGTGTTAGCAATGCACATTCTGCCTAAGCATTATGCCTTCATTTGTCCTCAGGGCAGTCTCGAGGTGCTACACTGGTGGTAGTGGGAGGCGAATCCGGTCCTAAAAGACACCTACCCTGATTTCCATTACTAATTGTTAAAAATCACTGTGATGGAAGAAGGAAGAATGATGTGGATATGAGAATCTGTGACCTCGATAAAGGGAAGGGTTGAAAATGACCTCCACCTTTGGCAACCATTCCAGACCCGTGTTCCGCAGGAGTGCCCCAGCAAATTAAGCGATACTAGCTGTGAACCATCTGGAAAAATTCCTTACGATGTTGTCTACTGTGCCTGCATGAAGAAGCCACTTAAGTAAACATGCGATAGCTTCTCCACTTCTCTATTAGCTGGATGGATCCAGATAGGTATATGGCTGGAATGCGGTAAAAAGAAACCAGAATAGCTCCGAGAATCAGAAGTGAAATCTCATCCCTTATAAATTGTATTAAACTCCATTCCTTACTAAATGACTGCTTCTAAGCCAATGTCCTTGTGACTTGCGATGGACATACAAGATGGCCAACCCATTCTCCATTCCTCCAATACACCTCTCAAATAGGGTAAAACTATAGGTCCAGTGGAATTGACAAGAGAGATCAGTGGCTTTGCGGTCAAGTATCTCTTTATTTGCACGCAAACTCGATCCCTGACGTGGTCGGTTTGTGAGTGTTCTTCAATCAATCCGAACTGCACTGTGTTGACCGACGAGGGTAGCGCGAAGGATGACGGTCAATAGAGAGGAAGGGCCACGTAACACTTTGTTTGTTTAACCCTCCACTTTGGTAATGGGGCACTGGGAAGCTCCACCACTGATAATCCGCCGTGAAGCCTGTTATCCTGGGTTAGTAGCTCCAATCTGTTCTGCATGTCGACGATACTTATTAGGCCAGAGTATTACGTCTTCAATCGTTTGTGAGGAAGGATCGGGGCGGTACAAGCCCCACTGTACACATCCACCTCCTTGACGTTGGGATTTTGGTGCTTAGTCAAGAAGGTCAAGTGTGCTCACGCTTGGACAACCTGTGCCATTGAAGCATTTCTGAAGAAGTAATAAGACATATAAATGTGCAAGAATCGTTTCTTTTGAGTGCTGAGAAAGAGGACGCACTACGAAGATTGTCGTGAAATCGACAGCCTTTGTAGAGCCATTAAAGATAGGATTGTAATGCTTCAGAGCCTCTTCCACCTCGTGAATTGGCTTCCACTCCAATTTAAGAGCATATAGAATGCAGGCAAGTAAGGAAGAGCCTTGAATGAGCTAAAGGGGCAAAGTTGTCTAGTCAATATTTGGTTAGCATGATAATTTACAATCCACCTCGTAAAGAAACCTCTGCGGTGTAGGGTAAGGCGAGCCACTACTTCAAAAGAATTTTTACACCGATGATAAGCAGAGGAGACGAATAAACCGTGAATTAATAATAAAAATAACAAGGTTTCTCTTGACAGGTAACTTCATTTGTAAACGGCCTGTCTTCGGTGCCCATCGTCGGTGCCCTTTGCGCCTTGACATCACTAAGCCAAACCTAGTCATGGGGAAAATACTTTTACTCGGAGACAGTCAATCCATAAATTTGATTTCTTCAGTGAAACTTGGGGTCAAAATGAGGTATATGAAGGAATCTTACCCATTGGATGTAAGAGTGCAATCCATCCAAATCCCTCGGGATCTGATGACATTGCCATCTTTGGTTCATAATAGAATTCAACAGTTTGCATGCACAATAATGCCTAAAATCGAAAAAATTGCTTGTGGGTTGTTTTTAATAAAGAATAAAAAATAGCAAATTAATTTAATCTGATGATTTCGGTGGGTCATAACAGAACGTTGATCTTTGAGTGTCATACAATACCAACAATGGTAACCAGGATGGTGCAGTACCCCGAGACTTCCTTCAAGACGAAGGGAGACGTATTACTCGGGCAGAATATGTATTGTCGATGTGGAGAAGGGGTTGAAGCTACCGGCATGATCCGTAGGGCAGTCCACTGGGCAAAGGCACCTTCTTAGTGCCCCATTACCGAAAATTAAACAAGCATTCAAAGCATTGCATAGTCTATCCCCTCATTTGAGCTTTGCCCTCGGCGCTCTCTCTGTTCAACCTCTCGAGTTGGCTATCACAACGTAGTCGGAGCCGTGAAGTAAACATCCACGCGGCAACTGTGCCAGTCGTAGGAGTTCCATGCACCCGAGAAGATACTTGAACGCAACACCTCTCCCGCGTGGCAATTCTACTGAATCTAGAGTTGTGTCCTTTGTGGAAACGGTATTGGTGGACGGGAGAATGCGCTGCCCTTCATGCATGTCCATCGTTAGTGGTAGGGACAGAGCCGCATAAGAAAGGTTTGACATAGTTACGTGGGGCTATAGTTTCGCATTCAAGCCTATCTTCTCACCTCAGTGCTGCCCGGCCATAGCTATCTGGGTTCTATTCAGGGAGTACAGGGGGAGGAAGAATCGAGTGTTCGCTAACTTGACATCGTCATATGGGTACCAAAGTCAGCTCCTTAACGAACTCTCCCTGATAATTCACGGCTAGTGGCAATTCATCTGTTAAAATCTTTCCAGCAGAACACAGAACTGGGGTTGATGCTGATATTAGATCCCATTTTTAACCCTTCTGTTAGGAGTCGCCGCCGATTTGTCCATCCGCAGCATATGTCCCTATTCTGTCCTACTCGAGTTTGCTACTCAGTAGTAGAAAAAAGGACATTTATCCTTCAAGATCGGATTCACCTTCCATTGTCACCAATGTTGCGCTCCGAGGGTTCCCTGAAGACAAAAGAAGCTACAATACTCTGCCGGAATATGCACTTTTAACATATATAAGGTCTTGGGGCTACTGATATGACCTGAAGGAGATGCGATCCGGCTGAGTTGCAATGGCGAAGCTCCTATGTGACCCGTTACCATTAGCAAAATAAAAAACAATTAACGGTTATCGGACAGTCACTGGGTGTCACTTCTAAAAAAGTGCGGTACACGGGTATGCAAAAGTTCTTTCCATCCTACGGGGTGAGGTCAAAGACGACGTTAGGGTGTAGTGACAGTATTTTATGGTAGAGCGTTAAATAACCCCCAGAAGACTTGGCAGGTCAGACAGGTGATAAAGTTCCTTATCTAAGTAGAGAATGGCTGACGTAGGCATAAATTGAGAAGCCAAGACACTACAAAGATGACCGATTTAGTGAAAGGTGAAAGGCTCGACCCAGTGGTATGCACATGTCTATGCAATGCTATTCAAAGTTGTCTAAAATCCTTAGAAAAGTCATTTCCCCTTTTCAACACTTGAATTTCAATAATTTCCTCTCATTTCAAGGTTACCATAACTCTTAGTCTTCACCATTCATTTGCAATTATCAGGACTACCACGAAGTCCAAACTTGAAATTGTGGATGCTGATAAAACATCCTAGTCATATACACGTTCTCAAAGGAATTCGACAACCAGATCGTAGGAGAAAAGTCTTCGCTTTAGGAATTAAAGTCCCATGCATCGGGCATGAATCTGTTACGGTTCATTGCGCACAACTCCAGTCAGTTGACAAGATGTTGAATTCGATGGATTGTCACGATAACGTTCATCTTAATAACTACATGAAGGTGGTGAATTCGGGTCACACTTACCTTCACTTGACATGGCTGTAGTACACACTGCGCGTATGCAAGTGGGCGTAAATAAACTATTGTGGGCCGACTCAGACAC